CAACCAACACTCTACCATTTACTGGGTTGCTAAACTGCGATGTTCACTAGTTTAAGTGTATTAAGTACATTTCAGTTTACAACATTTTCCATTATGATGAGTTTATTGGGACCTAAACTCCTGAGAAGATCGAGGAACAGCTGTATTTTGGGTTTTTCTGTTTGTTTTTGTTTGTTTGTTTGTTTTGGGGTTTTTTTTGGTCTTTTTGAGACAGCGTCTCCCTTTAGCCCCAGCTGACCTGGAACTCACTATGTAGACCAGGCTGGTCTCGAACTCACAGAGATCCACCTGCCTCTGCCTCCCAAGTGCTGGGATTAAAGGCATGTGCCACCATGCCCAGCTTTTTGGGTTTTTTTTAAATATTTTATTTATTATTTTTATTTTATGTGTGTGTTATGCCTGCATGTAGGTAAGTGCACCCGTGTCATGCAATGCCTAAGGAGGACAGAAGAGGCCTTTGGATCCCCTAGAACTGGAGTTATGGACAGTTGCTAGCTGCCATGTAGGTGTTGGGATTCGAAGCTGGGTTCTCTGGAAGAGCAATCAATGCTCTTAACTGCTAAGCCACCTCTCCAACCCCTTGTACCTTGGTTTTTTATCCATAATTCCTGGCTCATGGCTTCTTGTAACTTCTTAGGCGACTACAATAATAAGAATGTATTTTTAAAATATTTGACCTTTTGTCCTTGATCCCTGAAACAGCTCCAGAGTGATAATGGTAAAAGATAGTGTTGTTCAACCACACTTGAGTCTATATGAAGTGATTTTTCAAGACTCCATTGATAACTACATGAGGGGTGAAGGGACTGAGGGAATCAATCAGAGTGCTTGGAAGGGAACTCATGGAGGGGAAAAGGGATGAACATTGAGTTCATTAGCAGTGGCCAATGATTCAATTAGGTCTATTTTATAAAGCCACTATAAAAAGTCAAAGGCCTGGGGCTGGAGAGATGGCTTAGCAGTTAAGAGCACTGACTGATCTTGCAGAGGACCCAGGTTTGATTCCCAGCACCCATATGGCAGCTACGAACCATCCTTGACTCCAGTTCTAGGGGAATCCGACGCCCTCTTCTGACCTCTGTATGACACAGATGCACTGCATGACACAGATGCACTCACATACACGCAGGCAACACACTCATACACATAAAATAAAAATAAAATATATGTATTTTTTAAAAAGTCAAAGGCCTGAAGGTGAGGGCTTCCAGGAAGGTGAGAAGGAACACATCTACGTACTGAGAGGGTAGCACGTCCCCAACTCCATAGGGATGTAAGTTCCTATGTTCAGGACCCCTACAGACCTTACCCTATAAATCTCTATGTGGAGCTGCTTATATCTTTAAAATATTCTTTGGAATAAATCAGTAAGTATAATTTATATCTCAAAAAATAAAGTAACCACTCTTCATCAGTGGTTCTTGGGCCCATGGTGACTAGGCATACCCTTCAGTAACTATGTTCTTAATGTGATGAAATCCATGCCCTGGCCATGAGTTCATAAGTAAAGACTGTGTTAATTATAACACAATTGTTACCGTCATTTTTTTATCAACATTTTTTTAAAAGACAGCTGTTCAGTCACCGATGTCTAGTCAAAAGCAGCCCCACCCTTCCCGTAGAGTCTGGGAAAGGTTTCCTGGTGGCAAGAAGAAAAGGTTAGCCACACGGTGCAGAGTGGCTGATCCCTGATTCCTGGAATGCAGTAATTGTAAAGCAACTGCAGTCATTTTGTGGGGTAAATGGGCTCAAAAGCAGCTGAGGAATTCCAAACAAAGAGGAGAACAAAGAATAAAATAACTTAAATTATTTAGACTTCATACAGTAGTTTCATATAAATTCTCCAAAGAAAAGATATCTGGCAGTTTTTCCCAATACCATGCTTCCTTGATCTATAGCCATACATTCTGATTTTGCATAGTAATACTGTATCTGTGATTTCAAAAGAAAAAATACAGTCTTAGTAAAAGCATTAGCTTCAATTTTCCCTGCTATCTCACAGTATACTAATTTTTATGGGCTATTTAGGACCCACAAATTATTTGGAAGCTCTTCTGTCAATCTTAAGATGACAATGATAGTAGTTATATACCTCTGGAAAACAATATGTAACTATTTCCATATTTAACCTTTCCCATTATATATTGCTATAATTCTTCAGATACACTGAGGATATTACAATATGTGTTTAAAATCAATGATTCTATATGGACATGTCCCTCTGTGACAGATCAAAAATAAAGTAATTGCATTTAAAGAAGTTGCTCCTTATTTTCCTAACTCCTGTTCCCCGGAGAAATTTTAGTAGGTTTCTGTTCATTTAGAAGCATCTGAACTGGGATATTGAGAAGATATTTTGGCATAATACTGTTTGGTCTTTTTCAAGCACTGTCTTTGGGTACACTTGCATATATTATAAGGAAGTGTTATTAGATAGGTTGGAAAGTTTGCTCAAAAATTAACTGCTAGGATGCAGCATGTTAGTGATTGTATGGGTGTGTCTGTGTGCATTTGTGTGTGTGTGAACTTGGGAAATGTGGGATTTGTTGAAGATTTTCACAGAGGACAGAGAACAGTATATTTCAAAGACAATACTACAAATCAGAAAAGCAATCAGGAAAATTGAAAAACAACGGTAGAAAAGACAAAGAAAAGAGCAAGCAGCAGAAATTAGTAAGTGGGACCTATACCTTGAATGAATGTAAAAGAGAAGAAAAAAAAAAAACCATGATTTGGATGCCAACTGTTGCTAGACAAACTGACACTTGTTCAACTAAAGATTGCAGAGTTGCCTTAACATTTACGATTTTATAAAAGCTCTCTGTTAAACTATAATATTGTTTTAGAATATTGTTCTTGTTTAGCAATTGAGTAAGCATTGCTTTCTGAATATAACAGTACAAATGATGCTGAACAGGAATAAGCTGAAAAAAGACCTGGCTGAAGACTGGAGTGCTTGTAATAAAGTATGCATCTAACAGAGAGAAGTGGGCTGTCACTGATGAGGCAAAAAGGTGTGCGGTGCTGTGTAAAGCCCTGAAAGTAGAGACAAAATACAGACAATAAAAAGTTATTTAATAAAATAAGCCGGTGTGTTGGCTAACTTGCAAGGAAGTCTCCAGACCTCTGGTATAGCTGTTTATAAAAGTCCATAAATCTCTGAAGGAGAAGAAAATTCATTTTCATTACAAAACATTTCGTAAACATATTTTCTAAAAGAATTGAATTAATTTTCACCTTTTTTGTCTTTCTACTTTCCCTCCAAGTACGTGCCATAGGTGTAGTACCAAGAACATAGTTATCTGTACTATAATCTGTGTGGGGAAAACAGCGATATGTTTTTCCTCCCAATGATTTGAAAATTACAATGTGGACTCTTTGTTAAGGATGGCACCCCAAAAACTCAAGATTTAAAACTCGTTGCCAAAAAATTGCTATTACCACCCATGTACATTTAAATAGAGCTTTTCCAGGATCTGCTTTTAGACACTTTGATTCTGGTTCTGAGGCACTTGCTCAACGACTTACAGCTAGTGTGGAAAACACCAAATGGTATTTCTTTGGAAGTTATCAGAACTATTTTCCGCTGAAGTCCTGCTTTCCTCTGATGGTTGAGAGGATGGCATGGCTTTCCACTGGATGGTCAGTCGTAGTGAAACTGCTTGCTGATGGTTGAATCCGTTGGTGATCATCTTTGTTGTTGGTTAGCAGTATTTATAAAAGCTTTAGAGAGACAGGGACCTATGCAAGACATAGGAAAGTGAATGGAGAATGAAGGTCCGGTTGATGGTGGACGTGCTCTTTGGAGGTCTTTTTCTCTGGCTAGTGTCAAAGGGATGCGCATTGTGACAAATGGGTGTTTGGAGGTGAGAAGGGCAAAAGCCCTCTAATAAAAGGCCTCAGGAAGAAGTGTAGGCGACCTAGGGAAATGTGCTGCGGTCAAGTGTAATCCTGGGAAAAGAAACCCTGGAGAGAGGAGTGGAGGTTAGGGAGGGGGAGGCTGGGTGTGGAGGGACGGGGCGGGGGGAGCAAGCACTAATTATGGCTAAGCAACCGGGTTGAGACTACGGAGTGGGGAAAAGTGAAAGTCCAGGAGGAGGAGGAGAGGGCAGAGTCCCGCGGCCGGGTGCAGGACCCTTGGCTGCGGAGGTGGCAGCCAGGACGGCTTGGCTGGCCTCAGGCCCCGTTGGCAGCCTCAGGCGTTGGCTCCTCGGGGCTCCTCCCTCCCCCGAGCATTGTTCCTTTACCGGGAGACGAGGAAATTGCCTTTTGATTGAGGAAGTCCGCGGAAGGGGCTCGGGGCGAGGCTGCGGGGGTCAGAATGGCAGCGTGGGAAGGGCCGGCCCCCGCCGCCTGTCGCGTCCACAGCCCGCCCCGGGCCACAGCAGAAACAGCAGCTGAGGCCCCAGCGCTTCGCCAGTCCCTAGAGAAGCGCGCTGCGCCCGCAGGGCGCGCTGAGCGCGCAACAAGTGACCCCCGCGCGGTCCCCGCGCAAGCCTGGCTGTCCACCCCCGAGCGCGATGCTGAACCATGGAGCCGCACTGGCCTTGTGGATCACGCTGAGCCTCCTGCAGGTGAGTGGCGGGAGCAGGGGTTGGGGCTGATGCGCTGCTCCCCGCCAAGAATCAAACCCACTCCCCAGTCTCCCAGGCTGTGCTCCAAGCAGCGGTAAGGAGCCAAAATCTCTTGCTCCTAGGAAAGAACTATCTTTTTCTGAAACCCCTCTGTCTACCGAAATGACAGTTCACCCAACTGTCGAAAATTAAAATAAAATAAAATGTAAAAAGCTACCTGTATCTGCAGCTGATTGAGTTGGAAGCATCTAGGGTGAAAGTTGCCATCCACTTCGCCTATGGCCCTTTTACCAGGCTGGAGGGTAAGAGGATCCTCTTGAACTGGGCTTAAAGGGTGAGGAGAGAAACTTGGGGAGGTCACTATGGACATGTCCCTAGAAAGCTCAGACTCTGGACTTAATTTGTGCTCTCTGATTTTTTTTGCAGACTGCCCTGACGGAACCAGTGAGATGTAACTTCACCCTGTTGGAGTCCAGGGTCTCTAGTCTGTCTGCATCTATCCAGTGGAGAACTTTAGGGTCACCCTGTAACTTCAGCCTCATCTACAGCAGTGATACCTCAGGGCCCTCATGGTGCCTACCCATTCAGATAGACAACATTACCTATGGATGTAACCTCAAGGATTTACAAGCAGGGACCATCTATAACTTCAGGATTGTTCCTCTGGATGGAGAAGAGAGAACTGTGGTCTTGCAAACAGGTAAAGAGTGACAGGTGCAGTGAGACGGCATGCTGCAAGCTACCCTCGACCTTCTCCAGGGGCTTTCATTTGATTTCCAGGCTTTAAAAAAATGATAAAAATAGTCTTGGAGATAAAATTTTGATCAGGGTTTTTAGTCTCCTCACATCAGAATCAGCTTGGGTGACTTTTAGGGACTCTCTTGGTGCTGAAAACAGCAGCTGACTGGCCCCTGGAGGAGGAAGAGAGAAACCTTGAGCTATGAAGGAATGCTTTCAAGTGATGTGGTCCGAGCCTCCATCACATTAAATTGTCAAATGGAATCATTTTAAGTAAATGTTTTTAGAATAAATAATGGAATTGCGATGACTAAGGATATGCTCGCTTTTATTTTTAGAACCAGGGTATAAAGTCTTCAGGAATAAAATAGAACTATTCCCAGGAGAAAATCGAGAAGGTCCCTTGGAATGAGGGTGCAGAAATGATTGCTTTGTTCACATTGAACCTGCAGTCCATTATTTTCCTTACACTTTTGGAGACTCCTTCCATGTGTATGTGATAAGAATTTTTCTTTCTTGCCTCCATTCTCATCTGTTAAAACAAGAGGGCTAAACCAGTTGATTCAGGCCCAAGTTCTCAAGTGCAGGGTCTGTCATGTACATTTACCTCATTTAATCCTCACAACCGACCTGACAAGGTGCTACAAATTCTCTAAAGACACTGTGTTTTATGGCTTTATTAGTGCTTACTGCTGTCTCTGTTTGCTACAATAGTGAAGGCTGACTTTCAATCAGAAATTTAAGAGGAAAACTCTGAAAGTTAAATTTAGAACTGAATTATCCTTCGTATTCTTTCCCACTTCTACTTGAACAAAATAGATCATTTCTTTACTATAGCTGTTTGGAAAAGCATGAGCGTATTCTATGTGAAGGGCATTCAAAACAGGGTCGAGAAATCTTACTGAATTGATATCATGAAATATTAGTCATTTTATATTTTTCTTTTTTTCTTTTTTATTTATTATTTTATGTGTATATGTGTATTGCCTGCATGTATGTAAGTGCACCCATGTCGTGCAATGCCCACGGAGGACAGAAGAGGCTGTCAGAGCCCTTGGAACTGGAGTTACAGACAGTTGTTAGCTACCATGTGGGTGCTGGGATTCAAATCCAGGTCCTCTACAAGAACAGCCAGTGTTCTTAACTGCTGGGCCAACTCTCCAGCCCCTCCTTTTATATTTTTCAAAGTAAAACATTATAATGCCCAGTCAACATCATTTGACTTGTTTCAGATGAAACTCTTAGATGATTTAAGCAGCTGGGTTTTCAGGCATTACATTGTTAATTTCTTGATACTTGAAGACAGTTCTGCAAACACTCGTATTACTGCCACTGTAAAACTTTTAGCCTAGAACTTCCAGATGTGTTCATTATACTCGGAAAGTGGTCTGGCCAACTGCACATGTTCAGGGGGCAGAGCAATTTTTTAAAATAGATGTATTTTCAGACACTTGTTGCAGAAAAGATAAGACTGAAGAAACACGAAGACAGTTACTGGACCCAAAGATTTGCTTTTTGGAAAAATGATCATGAAAAATGACACAATGGGGGTGTCACCAGTGTAAACTAGCCTTTGTTGACATATAGGGAGACACTTCAAATCCAGAGGCATTTGATGAAGCATGAGAAAATTTGCATTGCTTTGCCTGTATTGAATAAAATAAGGCTTTATTGGCATCTACTGTGCCCTGGTATTCAGGGTTCTCATCATTTTTCTTCTCTATTATTTTATTTTTGCCGTGTGAAGGATAGAACCCAGGGCCTTATTTATGCTAGTCATGGACTCTACCACTGAGCTACACATCTAGCTCCTCAGTTTTCCCAAGGAGGTACTTTTCACCATAAATTTCCTGAGCTCTCAAACAAATGGGAAGGATGAAAATGCAGATGGTGTTTGAGCAATGGTAGTTTCTCCACGCTTATTTGCATGATGGTGTAACCCTTCTGGAATTCTTCACATTTTTAAAAATATTTATTTTAATAACATTTTAATTAATATTTTTAAACATTATTTCAAGGAAAATGTTTTGGTTGTTATTTATTTTCATAGTGCTTTCTAGTTCAAGACATGTGAATTGTTCATTTAGCTATGAAAAAAAAAAATCCCTAGTATTCTTCAATATTGATTACTACACTATAATGATGAGGTGAATAAATCTTATTTTACTATTCTTAAAACAATGCCAACTAGCCAGGCATGGTGGTGCATGCCTTTATTTCCAGCACTCAGGAGGCAAAGACAGGTGACGCTCTATGAGTTCAAAGCCAGCCTGCTCTGCATAGCGAGTTCCAGGCCAGTCAAGGCTACATAGCGAGACTGTCTTTTTTTTTAAAAAAAAAAAAAAAAAAAAAAAAAAAAAAAGTCAGCTCTTGTAATATTAACTCTGAGACAAAAATTAATAATTAATAATATTAATTACAATCTTAAGATTAATAATAATCATTTAAAATGTGTTTTCTTTTTTGCCTCTCTTGCTAGTCTACAATGAATCAGGGTAAGACATGATCATGGCTAGAAAAAGGACAGATGCTTAGATGATTTGTGTGCCATTCCAGGTGTGATTTGGGTGATGATTTGCTGATAGTCTAAATAGTTATGGTTTATGTAGACCTGGCCTTAAGGATACAAAATTTCAATTAAATGAGTAGTATTTTAACAACAGTCAGTGTCCATTACAGTTTTTAAATCATAATTGAAAAATGTGGATTCAAATTCAGTTCAGCAAATATTCATTGTGCATGACAGTCATGGGAGCAATGCCAGGGAGAGATTAGCAAGTCAATACAACCGTAGGACAAAACATTGTCCCTAAGCAGATGTGAGAGTTTATGTGGTCAATGGCCACAGAACCTACACATCTTTCTTGAATAGGAATTTGCCCTGCCTCATGAGTGTCAGGTTGCTATAAACATAGAGAAGATATTGGGCAATTATCAAGTTTATCTGGTCGTTAACTGGCCAGTGCAACAAGAATGCCTTTAGAAGTCTAACTGTTTAGTTGTGGATTTACCAAGAAATAATACAATATTCATAACAAATAAATGGCATTTTAAAGACTGTAACTTCAGAGTCTAAAGCAGAGTTTGCAAAATGGTATCCTTGGGAATGTCTAAGTATCTAGAGAGTGACAGAGAGACTAAGCTATTTGGCTCATGTAGTATTTATGAGGATATTTTGGTTTGTTTCACTAGCATTAAAAATGGAAAATCCACTGGGCATAGTGATGAAGGCCCATAATCCCAGCACTCAAGGCATTGAGGCAAGAGGATTTCACAAATTCAAGTTTATCCTGGGCTATGTAGTGAGTATCAGGGAAGCCAGGAGTACAAAGCAAGACCCTGTCAAAAAGAAGGAAGAGAGGAAGGAAAGGAGGGAGAGAGGGAGGGAGAGAATGAGGGAGGGAAGAAAGAAGGAAAGAAGGGAAGGAAGGAAGGAAGGAAGGAAGGAGGGAGGGAGGAAGGAAAGAAAGAAAGAAAGAACAGAACTGGAATTCAACATTTATACAGGCAGCCAGATGGAGATGAGATTACAAATGGCCCTTACTACCTGCAACTCTCAGGCACTACACACACACACACACACACACACACACACACGTTTTCAAGGTGGCTTCTGGCCATTAAACCCATAGGACACTACTATGATCTCTGTTGTACATGCTTCTGAATTAATGAAAAGTCAGACCATGAAGAAATTCCCTGGAAGCTACTTAGTAAGACATGGGCAAAGACATGAACAGCCCAGTTCGGGTAGAACTAAAATCATTTTCCTCACTTTCAGGACAAAGAATTTGTTAAATGTCCAAATTTAAATCAGTTGGTCTGATTTATTGCTATGTCATTAACACCTGGTATAATATCCAGTCATTGAATGAAATAAAGAAACAGAGAGGAGGGAAGAAAGAAGGAAAGAAGGGAAGGAAGGAAGGAAGGAAGGAAGGAGGGAGGGAGGAAGGAAAGAAAGAAAGAAAGAAAGAAAGAAAGAAAGAAAGAAAGAAAGAAAGAAAGAAAGAAAGATTGATTCATAAGATTCTCTTAAACCGTTAGATGGTTGGCAAAGCCCTCTGGCCAGATCTCTTTAGATCAGAGTTGTGACCTCACATTTTAGATACCAGCTCACTGAAAGACACTGATTTATTACCTTATGATGTAGTATAAGGAAATTTGAGGCTGCAACTTCTTTAGAATTTGCATTTAGACCTTGTGGGGTCTCTTTTCTTGGTTTATTAATAAGATATGTTTTTATTTGGCACATGGTAGATGTTCCATGAGTTTTGATTAAATATTTGGATGAACAGGTGCATGGGTAGATAACTCTATGGGGAATGAGAGAGGTAAGCATGAATCAATGAGATGAATATTTTTGTAGGAGAATGTATAATTTAGTAAAACATTATCTCATCTCCTTGAGCTATGGAAACATCATGGAACCCAATGAAAAAGAAATAGAGAGCTTTACTTGGTGGGGGACGACATCTCACAGGCATTTGGCTTCTTGTCAGCCAATCTCAGGTACTTAGTACTCTGCCTAGAAAAAAAAAGTCCAAGCAGCCCCACCCTTAAATGATTTTTATTATTTTAACATAGAAGATTTCTTTGTCTATAATGAAAACCATTTAATGAATTTAATTGTCAATCAAATCACTATATCAGCTATTATTTCCATTTGAAAATGTTATTTATTGTACTGGGTTGGCTAAGGCTGCCAAAATACCAAAAACTGGGTAGCCTGAAAACCAAATTTATTTTCTCTAACTCCTGCAGGCTAGGATTCCAAGGTCAAGATGCTGGTAGCTTTGCTGTCTCCTTGGTTTGCACATGGACACCTTCTTTGTGACACAGAACTGTCCTTCCCTGCATTTCTGTGTCCTTCTTTTCTTGAAAGGACACTTGTCATATTAGACTAGGGCCCAACCTAACAATAAGTTTAACTTACTCACCTCTTTGAAGACTGGCTCTCTC